GGGTGTGGGTGTGGATGTGGCGGTGGGTATGGGTGTGGTGTGAGGGTGATGTCTATCTTCTTCCATGGCTACACACATACCCACACTCCCCACACCCACACCCTCAAGATGGTGTTTGTAAGAGAAATGAGTGTTTAAGTTACAATATAATTCTAATTGATGTATATAAGTTGTTTTATTAAATAATAATAACACTTAGTTACAACAAAATATATATATATGGTTGACAAAACCCAGATAGAAAGAAAATATAAAAGAGAGAGAGAGAGAGATAAAACATAAAAGATAAATCAGTGAGAAAGAGACGAGAGAGAGCGGAGGAGAAGGAAAATGTACCGATAGAAAAGAAACAAGAAACAAGAAGGAGGGGATAAGAAGATCACGTATTAGTGAAACGGGTGGGGGGGGGGGGTACCGTTCGAAACGATGTCTTCCTATTGTCTTGGCACTGTGTGGTTAGAAAGGATGTCCTTCTATGTCGTTGGCACAGTATTATTAAAGTTGTCAACGTTTTGGTCAATACTACTTACTGCTTTTATTTCGCACCATTTTTTTGGAGGAATTGTTTCATTTTTCTGTTTGATTGAGGTGTGTGTTTTCGTTTGTATACGCTTGATTTTCTGGATATGGGGGTGGGTGGTTTTATTTGCTTTCCACGTAGAGTTTGTGAAGCGTGACCGGATTCGCACTGCTTGCTGAAGGTTAATTGCATACTTCTTTGATTTCGGACCATTTTTTTGCAGGAATATTTTCCATATTATTATTTGTTTAAGCTCTCATGAAGTCGGAACGTGCAACCTCTGCGTGGTATGAGAGAGAAACTTAAAGATATCTTTAAGGCTAATGCACGTACGTAGAAACTATCGGGCAGCAGCGATAGTGGATCGCCACGAAGGCACTCGGACTGCGCTGAAGAAGGAAATGGTAAACCACTTCAGTATATTTACCAAGAAAATTCAATGAACAGACAATCAACGACGTTTCAAGATATGGTGTTGGAAGATGAGACCTCAGGTCGGAAGGCACCAAAAACATTGCTGGGGAAGAGCCTAGGTCGAGTACAATTAGTACTGTAAATAATAATGATGTGATAGAATCAAAGCCGAAAGGAAGTTCGATCACTGAGAAATACAGATACGAACGGAAAGACCAAAGCTTCCTAAAAACACATAAAATTGGCACAGGGAATGTAAGAAGTATGAACCAAGGCAAGCTGGAAATAGTAAAAATGGAAATGGATCGCATCAAAATGGACATTCTTGGAATAGGTGAACTAAAATGGACAGGAAATGGTCATTTTACATCAGGTAACTACGAAGTTTACTATTCTGGTAGTGAAAACATCAGAAGAAATGGAGTAGCCCTGATTGTAAACAAAAAACTAATCAATTCAATAATTGGCTACAACACAAAAAACGATAGAATGATTTCTATCCGTTTACAAGGAAAACCAACAAATTTAACAATAATACAAATTTACGCACCAACTACAGAAGCAGAAGAATCAATCATCGAAAATTTCTACATGGAATTACAACAACTATTAGACAATGTTCCAAAAAAAGACACAATCCTGATCATCAGCGATTGGAATGCAAAAGTTGGCGAAACAGAAGTTCCTGGAATAGTTGGAAAATTTGGACTTGACAAACGCAACGAAGCAGGCGACAGATTAATCGAATTCTGTCAAGAAAATCATATGGTTATTACAAACACATGTTTCCAACAACCGAAACGACGATTATATACATGGACATCACCAAATGGACAACATTGAAATCAAATTGACTATATTATCTGCAACAGACGATGGAAAAGCTCAATAACATCAGTCAAAACACGACCAGGAGCTGACTGCGGTACTGACCATGAACTCCTGTTAGCGTGTTTTCGAATCAAGCTCAAACAACATCAGAAATCAACAAAAACATCAAAACCCGATCTACAAAACATCCCATACAAATACAAGGTGGCAGTAAAAAACAGATTCGACGCGCTCAATCTGATTGGTAAAGAACCGGAAGAATTATGGCAAGAAATACGTGACATAATCAACGACGAAACGAAAATCAATATACCGACAATACCAAAGAAGAAGAAGAACAACTGGTTATCATCAAGCACCTTGGAAATCGCAAAGAAAAGACAAGATGCTAAATCAAATGGAAACAAACAAACCTTCAAACAACTCAACGCCGACTTTCAAGGTGCTGCAAGAAAAGATAAAGAAAAACAAATAATGCAAGAATGCGAAAAGGTAGAGGAATACAACAGAAAAGGTATGACAAGAGATCTTTTTAAGAAGATAAAATACCTTCGTGGTCAATTTATACCAAAAAATGGCTCATTAACAGATTCAAATGGTAAACACTTAACAAATGGTCATGAAATCAAGAACAAATGGCAACAATACACCGAAGAACTTTACAAGAAAGAAATCAATGGAACAAACAATTTGGTACTCGACGATTATGAACCGGAATCTGATATTTTGGAAAGCGAAGTCAGATTCGCACTAGAAACATTAGCAAATGGTAAAGCACCTGGACATAATGGAATTTCAATTGAATGTTTTAAAACAATTAAAGAAGACACAGTTAAAGTATTAACAAAATTATGCCAACAAATATGGAAAACAAACAAATGGCCTCAAGATTGGAAAACATCGATATTCATTCCCATACCGAAGAAGGGAAATGCCAAAGATTGCTCAAATTACCGAACAATCGCTCTCATCTCACATGCCAGCAAGATTATGTTGAAGATTATACAACGGCGATTGGAACCTTTTCTCGAACGAGAAATGCCAGTTACACAAGCAGGATTCAGAAAAGGAAGGGGAACACGTGACCAAATAGCAAATCTACGGTGGGTGATGGAAAAAGCTCGAGAATACCAAAAGGAGTTTTACTTATGTTTTATCGACTATAGTAAAGCTTTCGATTGTGTAGATCACGAGAAACTCTGGTGTGTACTAATGGAAATGGGTGTGCCAAAACATTTGATTATCCTTATGAAGAACTTATATACCCATCAACAAGCATCAGTGAAAACGGAATATGAAAATACCAACTGGTTCAACATTGGAAAAGGTGTACGACAAGGCTGCATATTATCGCCATACTTATTCAATTTATATGCGGAGTATACAATGAGAAAAGCTGGCACAGATAAAGCAGCAGGTGGAATAAAAATCGGTGGACGTAACATCAACAATCTACGGTATGCGGATGACACCACACTACTGGCTGAAATTGCTGACGATCTGAAATGCCTTCTACAGAAGGTAAAAGAGGAAAGTGCAGCTGCGGGACTAAAGCTCAATATGAAAAAGACGTGCGTGATGACAAATGGACCAATTCAAGAATTTCACATCGACAATGATCAAGTGGAAATAGTCAAAGAATTCATCTTCTTGGGTTCTAATATAACCACCGATGGCAACTGCAGTAATGAAATAAAAAGAAGACTTCTTATGGGTAGAAGAGCAATGGTTAGTCTGGACAAACTCATCAAAAGCAAAGACATCAACATGGCCACAAAAATTAGAATAATCAAAACGATGGTGTTTCCAATAACAACATATGGGTGTGGAAGCTGGACAACAAAAGAAGCAGATCGGAGGAAAATCGATGCCTTCGAACTATGGTGCTGGAGAAGATTACTTCGTGTTCCATGGACGGCAAAAAGAACCAACAAATCTGTTTTACAAGAAATAAAACCCGAATCGTCACTGGAAGCTTCAATGGTGAAGTTAAAATTTTCATATTTTGGACATATAATGCGACGACAAGATTCGTTGGAAAAAGAAATAATGCTTGGCATGGTCGGTGGTAAACGGCGCAGAGGAAGGCAAAAGAAAAGATGAATTGACACAATAAAAGAAGACACACATTTAACATTAACTCAACTCAACACAATGGTACATAACAGAAACATGTGGAGAAATCTGACTCATCGGATCGCCAAGAGTCGGACTCGACTGAATGGATAAAACAACAACAAAATCTGTTTGACATGTATTCATAAAACAAAAGTATTATAAAATATTGGAAATGCTATGCATTAATTAAATATTTAACTAAGATGAATATTATTAATTCTTACATCTATGAAAAATTACATATTATTTGACTATCATAAAGCCGGCGACACATTAGAAGACCCCCCCCCCTTTAAATAAATGATGTAAAAAACATATTAGAAGATCCCCTCCAATGGCTGATTTTTCAGTTTATCTATTCTGTTAGTACTCGCTATTTCTTTACATATGTTTCTTAACTACGCTTCACAAGTATATTTTTTGTGTTCTTTCTTGATGTTCAAAGTTGTCTGTCATTGAACAGCACAGAATTTAATTAATAGACATATATGTGGCACGCGAATAACAATGTAAGCTTTGCTTAGAAAAACAAAAAGAAATTAGAAGTTCAACATTGGAAACTTGACATACACAACTTAGCTTGAAGGACATGACATGTGGGTAAAATAGTTTTTTTTTCATTTCGATTGTATGAAATTATATTACTTTATGGACGATTTCTTTTATCCTGTGAAAAATACTCCTATGTTTAAATGTTAACTAATCATATTTTATGTGACTTTGCACATTTAATAAATAAAATGCTAGTTTCATGAAATGTTCTTTTATTATAGTATTGACTTTAATTGACTATAATACTGTCAAAAAGTTTAATAATCCTTTAAAAACAGTATAGAGACCGTTAAAAAAACTATAAAAAAACATATAGTTGAGAGTAGCAAGAAAATATATTCTTTTTTTAGGGACATAATAGAAGACCTCCCTTGAAATTTGTAAACGCTACGTCAGATTAGAAGACCCGAGGTCTTCTAATGCGATCCCGGCTTTAATCAAATTATAATTATCAATGTACTTTATTTCTGTTTCATTTTTAGATCAAGAATTCTGTATAAAAAGTAGGGGTATTACTTTATCTATATTTACTTTATAATAAAGAATGACGATAATTGTTATTTTAAAATAAAGGTAAAGAAATAAAGTAAATCGTTATCTTTATAAAATAAATATAAAGAACAAAGATTTTTTTTCTATCGAAACGTACTTTTTTATTCTCTTAGAGTAGCTTACAAAAATTATGATACTATATAGTTAACTATGATATAAAATAGCATTTTTCGTATATATCGTTTCTTGTGTGGTCCTTTTTTTTGATGATAAGAAAGAGCATTAATAAATGTATTCTATTGTTATACACGGTATTTGCATATGTAGTTACTGCATGAAAAAATATATCTTAATTCTTTATCTT